CTGAAAAGATCATGTATTTATTACACCATGGTGGATTCACTGAGGCTGGTGGCAGGAGGTCCAACTTGTACCTCCCTCAATGCTTTCTATGTGCCCCAGTCACACTTGTTTCCTTTCCTGTGTTGCCTTGTTTCCTATTTGTCCAGCTGAGTTGGATCATACCAGTTCCCTTAGCACTAGGGAGGTTCCTTTAGCTTGAAACTAGTGGAGTCTGGTAGGAATTGTGCTGGTAAAAGCTGGGGAATGAATTTAACCTCCTTCTTTTGCATTGTATTTCTCACAGTTCAAGGCACTAAAATTCAGTCTGACATGCAGGGAGGGAAGGCCTTTTGGGGCTGTAAAAAGCATTAACTCAAGATCTCAGTGCTATTTGATGGAAATTCCATGGAGTTCCATCATGGAATTATCTTTTAGGGTGGGTAGAAATCTCCAGGATTGCATCCTGGAAAAGTGAGAGAGAAAATTCAACAGTGTATAAATGATAAATAGTGGACTCTAACCAGAGGGAGTCAGAGTCCAGGGACACTAACAGAACATTTTGGGTCCTGTCTCTGTATCTCCCATCCCTTAGCTTGCAGGGGAGATGTCATGATCACAAAGGTGGTTTTCCCAGGGTGAGGCTTATCCTATGTACTCTGGGGGTATTGATTAGACCTGTTCAAAGCTTTGGTCTGTGATTCGATTTGGCCCGATTCGGTGGCCAAATCTTTGAATCCGAATTGAATCAAATCAAAGGACCCTTTAATCTCTCTGAATTGAATTGGAACCCTCCGAATCAATTTGGAGAGATTCAGAAAGATTCAGAGATTCAGACATAGACACAGCTTAAAATGTTTTTTCTACATACCTCTAGGTAGCAGGTCGCTTGTGAACACTGTGATGCTGGGGTCCATGGAGTGTCCCACTTTAGTGTGGGGGGCTCCCCAGCCTGGGACAGCAGACCCGGAAGTGGACCAGAAGCCCTTCTGATCCATTTCCAGGTCCACCGGAGAGTGCATATGGGCCCCCTTGTGGCCCCTCTGGTTCTGTGACTGGTGCCTCCTGGGCTGGGGGGGGCACTTGGGGTCCCCTCATGTCTGATTGCCGAGCTGGGGCCCCCCAGGGCACTCCCCACTGGACTCAGAAGTGGACCTGAAGTACTTCTGGTCTACTTCCAGGTTCAATGCCAAGCATGTGGAGGGCCCCCTCCTCCGCAGTCCTGAGGGATGCTCCATCTGCCCCACCATCGCAGTGATCATGAGCCGCACTGGTACCTTGAGATATGTAGAAGAAACATATAAAGCTGCATCTATGTCCAAATTGCTGACTCTCTGAATCAGCATCAAATCTGCAGATTCAGATTCAATCAAATCAAATCGGGGACAGTGATCCGAATCAATGAAACGAATCACTGTCCCTGATTTGGGCCGAATCTGAATCGAATAGGGCCTGCTTTGCATCCTAGTTTTGATCCCTATGGTTTCCCCAAAGCACAGGGGGATGGAGATAGACTGATAGAGTATTCTGTGTGACTACAGAGGACAGAAGAAGGAGCAATGGTCTTAAATTGTATCAAAGGAAATTCACGCTGGATATTATGAAGAAACTTCTTGCTATGAGGGTGGTTGAGCACTGGAACATATTACACAGTGAGGATGTGAAATCTCCATCTTTGGAGAGCAGGCTAGACAGCTACTTGGCTGGGATGATTTATTCAGAGATAATTATGCCCTGGGAACTGAACTATATGGTCTCCTGAGGTCTCTTCCAGTCCTACTTTTCTAAAGTTCTGTGATTATCTGTCCTTTCTCAGCCATTCTGTTAACCTTCTTCAGGTTCTGAATGTCTCAATTGTAGAGGTAGTGGTTAATTTCATTTTTTAGGCTGGATGGTCACTTAAAGGAATGTTGCAAGCTTCTCCAAATGCCACTGTGGGAGCTGTCATCTTCCAAACCCCCAATCACAAGACTTTTTAAAGCAAATGCTGCAAACTGGGGAAGATGGTTTCAAAACACAGGGGGTGGAGGGATGTTGCAGTTTCTAACACCACTAGAAAAGGGACCTTCATCACATTTGAACTTAAAGCTCCAGAGGTAAAAGGCTGAAGCATTAACTCCCTGTGTAATGCTGGGACAGATTTTTAAAGATATTTAGGTGCCTATTTTCAATTAATTGCAGAGGGACCAGAGCACCTGAATACTTTGACAAAATCTAGCCTGCAGTGTCACACTATTATTTTGTATATCTAATTTCTACTGAAGTTCCTGCCTTGCTAACCATAACACTCCAGCAAGTGCATGAGCCTGTAATTCTGCTAAAAGACAGTCACCATCAGCTTGAGTTTTTTTTGTATGGTCCAGGCAGTGGTCAGAATCTCAGCTGATGGAAATGGGTGTTGCTAGACAGTAGCAGTCAATGAAGTAACTCTCACTTAGACCAGCTGAGGATCTGGCAGAAAGGAGATGCCATCTATCAGCAAAAGCTGTTTGCAAGAGCCAAAAAGCCTTGCTGTAGGAGTTGTGCAGATGGCCATCTTTCCACTCATCCTTTCAGATATGGGGAGCCAGCCAAAATAACCAGCTTAAAAAAGCAAAGTATAACCTGTTCAAAGGAGAACAGAAAAGAAGCTTTTCAAACAGCTTAATGAGCTATTAGTTAAGACTGCCAGGGACAGATTTCATTTCTGCTCTTTCCATTCTGTACAGGATATTCATTATAGAAGTAAATACCCCCCAGCACCTTTCGTTGGAGCACAACAGTTTGCAGGTTATAATGAGGCATTAATTTAATAAAGGTGGAGGGTGGTAAAAGGACATAAGGCAGATATGAACCAAATTGCCTTAACCTTCAATTAGTTGTAGCTAGAGCCTTCATTTTACTAAGGCATAGCTATCATGCAGACACTTACCAGCTGAGAACATATACCTTAAAGACCTTGCAGAGGGGCCGCACATCCATGATTGACCCAAGGACCTCCAGAGATGAAAGCATGGACTTGTATAGCTTGAGCGAAAGAATCATGTCCTTCCAGAACTGCTGGTCAGAAGTTTTCCAATGACATCACTTTTCATCTGGAAACACTGGTTCATTGAAACTGAAGTGTTTTGTGGAAACATTTTTGCTTTGATGAACTTCTGCCAAAAGCCAGACAAGGTCCTGATGGAAAACTGCCAACTCACCTGGTGGCCTGCTGGACAGCCAGTGCTTCCAAGACCCCTGGCTCTGAGACAGCCCACCATCCAAATGGCTTGATGCATCCCAAGGTCTGGGGGTGGATTCAGGGGAGGGGAAGGGGGAGTGCACTGGTGCACTTGTATTCTCCTTTGATTCCAGCTCTACCCCAAGCTTAAAACCAACTGCCTGGCAGTGGCAGCAGCATTTCTAGTCAGGCAGTGCTGAGGGGTCATTTGCCTTCATGGCTCCCTATAAACTACTTGATCCCTTCTAAACTCTCCATTGCACAAGTGTTAATACCCCTCTCTCCTTTTTACTGGTTTTGATGTTCCACTAGTCAAGCTAGTCTTTGTTCTGCAATTCTGCTGTCTGTTTGTTGCTCCAGGTAACCACACTTCTATTTCACAGCCTGGCAGATTGTTTTTAACTCTTTCCAAACAAGTTATATTTGTTTTTGCTTCAATCTTAAACTGAATAATACAGTCCTGGGCCCCTAGCATATTAGTAAAGTTTCTAGATGATTTTTAACTGGAGGAAAAAATATGCATTGTGTTATATACGATGAGGCACCATGCCATCTGCACCCCCCTTTGTAAAATTCTAGTTCTGCCCATGCCAAGATCCACAACCCTAGGCTGCTCCAGGATGGTCCCATTAAGCAAATTGCTTTGGAAACTCAAGGGCTTTCACAAGTCTGTGGCTCCAGAATAAATTAGCTATGTGAACTGCCTCAGAGACAAGGCTCCTAGAACATTTAGGCTCCCTGTCCTGGAACCAGAAGTCTGGAAGCAACTGCAGTAAAGCTGCTCTAACAGTGGGTATTTTGGCTTCATTCCAATCCAGGATATTTTCTGTTGGTTTCCTTCAGGGAGAGCTACTCTTTTATGTTCCACTGCCTCAAGGTAGCTACCTCTTGGATTTTGCCCTGAAGTTCCCCATGTCTGGGTAATTCTATGCCGACAGCCATGCCCTTATATTATAAACAGAGACAGGACAGAAAAGGGTAGGAGGAAAGAGTATTCCTCTTCCAATTGTAAAGAGGAGGAGTGAAGGCAGCAGGAAATTATTTGCTTACTGTCATAGAAGGAAGATAGGTACTGAATGCAGGTTTCCTGAGTCCTACTCCCATCTTTATTTTCATAGGAGTGTTTCTTACATCAGAGAGCTTCAGAAAATGGGCAGAATGTCATCAGGACAGTGACTTCCTGTACCCTGAGCATACATATGATAATGTTCCCCCAGAGTTTTCAAATAACTAAAATAAGTGGAAGATTTAGTTCCAGTGGAGGAGGAGTAAGTCTCGAAGGGAAAGCATGTTGCCCACTCCCTTTTTATGATACTATCCTGTTTTTCATCTGAGAATGCAGCAGACTGACAAGGAGAACAAAAATAAGGGAAAAATCCTCACTGGGAACCTATATAATCAGCTTGAAGGTTGGCACAAATTAGGTCATTTCTTGTGTTTATATTTTTTGCATGCATTGTATGCTCTCTCCTCCTCCTTATGTTATCATGATGTGAAGGGAATTTCCTGCGTACAGGGTATTGTTTTTGCCAAGCTTTTGTGAATATAAACCACCTCAAGTGCTGAAAAGAAATAAAGTTCAATTCTGGTGCTAATATGTATAATAACTTATGTACATTAACAAGTCTATAAGTATATACAATTATATTCTGTGTGATATAGCTATATAGTAATAATATACATATATGGATATTAGAGAAAATGAGGGATCAAATATCATTTTGCTTTTAGGTTCTTATCTAGTATTTTATCAGGGAATGGAAAGAGAAATGACCATTTTCAACAAATGGTGATGCATTTCAAATCTTTGAAATTTATACAGGCCCAGCTTTTAGCTGGTATCAAGAGGCATGGGTCCATGGAAGACTGCACACAACCAGCTGGGGATCTGGTCTCATCAGAAGATGGTGTTGAAAGCACTGAGTTCTTCATCAAATCTGCAAGTGTAAAATATTTGAAACAAAAATTACTTTTGCACACTTCCCCCTCCTTTTAGCATGAATGCTGTTTGCTACTCACCTTAGTAAGGCACGTTGAAGCAAGTAGAATTTCACTGACCTTTATTTCCTATGATCTAGTATTTTGCTAGTGAAAACTAATTTTTGCATACGGGGGTTTCTAACAGCTTTGCCTGTTCTCAGTCCCTTATGACAGAGTTGCCCATAGTTTTATTTATGAATAATTAAAAAAGGCAACATACAAAGGATCCGTTGCATTGAATAAAAACACAATAAGGCTCCCTAAATGGACTGGAATCTAAAATACTGGCCTAAAAGACTGAATTTATTAAGCTCCTTTGGGAAAAAGAAACTGGTAATGGAGTTCTGAATTGCTTGCATGTCTATGTATATTTGTTGAAAGAAGAACAATGTCACTGTTCATCTAATTTACCACTGTTCAAACCAAAAGCGCAAGAGAGAGCTTTCTCTCCTCACTTGCCCCTACATGTTGATGCAGCTGCAGTGGTGCTGCAGAGAGCCAGGGAAAGGTGCATATAATTGCCCTGGCTTCCTGTCTTGCAGGCCTTAGGCAGGTGGGATGTTTCCATAGCATCAGTGTCTGTGCCACAACAGTCTTCAAGAGAGTGCCATAAATAAGACTCATTCCCTAGTTACTCTCATTCTCCCCAGGCAGTTGCACCTTTCCCTCCTGCGCAGCCCCACCCCATGTCCCCCACAGGCATAGCACAGAACTGGACCACCGTGGCAGCGCAGAATTTGGTGTTCCAACCGGAAGTGTAACGTTGCTTGCTATAAATAAAACAGAAGCTGCAAAATCAGTCTACAAACCCCACCAAGGCAGCTGCAATCAGTGAATTGAGAACCAAACAGTTCATACACTCAAGCACTCTATTCAGAATGTCAGACTTGAAACAGAACATTGGAGTCCCATGCAGAATGATAAGATACCTGTCTTTAAATTACATTTGGAAGAAACTTCAGAGCACAAAGAGTCTCAAAGTAAACCAAGGCTGGAGGTGTAAATCTCCAGAAAAACATTTATTTTGGGCTCCTCTGATATAAACAGAAATGAAAAGGATCTACATGCTTTCCTTCCAAACCTCAGGCTCACAAATGGATCCCAAATCCCAACCCCACTTTAATATGAGGGCCTCCCAATTAGAGCATTGGATGGCATTCAAAACTTTGTATAAATCTGAGTGAAGGCATTTAATAGCAGGGGCCTGTCTCTCACTCAAGCAGCTACAGTCACTTCTGGTTTGAGCTGCCTGGGCAGTCAGTTCTGCAGCAGTAATTCTAAGGGAGGATCTTCCCAAATTACCTCGTCTAAGGCCAGTGGCTTTGCTCGTCAGCCTCCTCTCCAACTTGGCAGATGCTGGCAATTTAGAGAGATTATATTTTTATCTGTGTTCCCTTGCAAATATGCTAGTAAAGGTCTGAAAAATTAAAGGATATTTTTTTTCTTCTTCGTCTTTAATGTAAAAGCACAATGTCATTGCTTAATTATCAAATTGTTTTCCCTTTCATTTCCATATATATATTTAAACTCTGTGTAAGCAGCCAATAAACCTCAGGGTGCTGGGGCTTGTTCCCACTCTCATTGAAGTCAATGGCAGTACTCCCATTCACTTCAATAATCAGGCACCAGAGTAACTCTGATTTTTCTGTCCCTGTCTCTCCCTTCCTTTCAGAAAACCTCTGAGGTTGGGCCCAACATCAATCTCATGCACAGGCTGGGAGCATCTTTAGAAATTTTTTTTCAGTTCTGGGTTTTGATCTCTCTCTTTGAAATGGAAGCAAATTCCCTGCAGGGTGCTCTGTGATCACTTGTTGGGTGTAGTTGCATGCTTTCACTTCTTGCTGTAGGTGAAATGGCTCATGTGCAAGGGTATTAACTCTCTGTTAGGCATTTCAGTGCTCAGTTAAAGTAAACAGGAGTACAAAGAACTAGAGGTTTAATGACTGAGTGAGCTCTAGTTCTATAAAGCCTAGGTAAAGGATGAAGGTATGTGATGTCATATTGTGGTGGTGATAAAGATACAGTTTTAATTAAAGGAAGGGTCATTTCCTTTTTGTCTTGCTGCAATGAAGCAGCTGTGCCAGTGGATGAAGATGGATGTTGAGCAGAAGAATTCTGCTTGTTAAGTAAAAATGCCTAGAGGACCAGACTTAGGCCCCAGTCCAGAAAAGTAGTCAGCATGTGCTCAACTTTAAGCATGTGGGTGGCTGCTGGCAAAGCACTTAACTACACTTGAGTGGACCCAGCTGCAAAAGTTAAACAAATACTTTTATACTTTGCCGTGTCAAGGCCCTAACTGGCAAGATTCAAAAGGTCTCCAGTGACTCACCAGGTTATCTAATAAGACCAGGTACAGACATTACACTTTTACTAGTATAAGTGATAGGAAACCACTTCTGTTCACTTGTAACAGAACAGACGCTCCTCATACATGGAATGATTTAAGAGTGGCAGAACTCAGTCTAAGATTTACACACATTCGTCCTTTGGTGGTGAGGGTATTGTTCACTACTGATCTAAACTATGCCATTTACTGAAAACTGTGTAACAGAGATCAATTCTACCTCAGGCATTTTGAATGTCTGTACCTAGCCTAACGTTCCAAAATAAAAGGGCCTAATTCAACATCAAATACTTCTCCCAGGGATGGAGTCCCCAAAGTTCACTATGTAACCCTCTTTGGAGGGCCCTGAAATCATTATTTGGTACCGTTTCCTCTCAAGTGTCCTGATGAGTGCCAAGAGCAGCCCCAGCAAACAGTTCCCAGGTCCTGCCTACAACAGAATAGTGTGTTCAGGAACTATTATAAAAAATACCCCAAACCCAAACCCGAAAGTGTTACTAATAGGGCTGTGCGAAGCTTCGGTCCCTGATTTGATTCAGCCCAGTTCAGTGGCTGAATCTCTGAATCCAGATCAAATCAGGAGACCCTTTAATCTTTCCAAATTGAATCGGAACCCTCCAAATCGATTTGGAAAGATTTGGCGATTCAGACAGACACAGCTTTAAATGTTTTTCCTACGTACCTCAAGGTAGCAGGCGGCTCATAAATGCTGTGATGCTGGGGCAGATGGAGCATCCCACAGGAATTTCGGGGGCTCCTCAGCGTGCTCGGCAGCAGACCCAGAAATGAACCAGAAGCACTTCTGGTCCACTTCCGGGTCCACCGGGGAGCACACTGGGGGAACCCCCCCCCCCAGCTCAGTGATTGGTGCCTCCTGGGTTTGGGGGGGGGGCACCCGGGGTCCCTTGTGGCTGATCACCAAGCCGGGGGGGGGGAACGATACAGGGGGACCCTCCATGTGCTTCCCGGTAGACCCGGAAGTGGACCGGAAGTACTTCCAGTCCACTTTTAGGTTTGCTGCAGAGCAAGTGGGGGGGCCCCCCCACGCTCCTGTGGGATGCTCCATCTGCCTCAGCATCGCAGTATTCATGAGCCACGCCTGATATCTCGAGGTATGTAGAAAAAACATTTAAAGCTGTGTCTATGGCTGTCTGAAACCATATTTAAAAAATGATTTCTTACCATGGTCAACATTATAGTTGTAGAAGATGCTTCTGAAAGGCTATTCAACTCTTACCTATGTTTTATATAGCTTGAATTATTATGTTATTTGAACAAGAAAGCATCCAGTGACACCGTACAGCTTTTCTTTAGTTAGAATTTGGTGTCCATCACTGAAAATTTTCCTAATAGAAGATGTATCTGTGTATGTATATACATGGGAACATATATGTGCATGAGACCATGTTTGAGGTACCCCCCAAAATAAAGTGAAAACAGCAAAAACCAAAGAATTGGTCCAAAGATATAAATCATATTATCCAACAATTTTTCTTTAAACCTATAAAAATACACAGGTTAAAAATGGAATTAGTCAGGACTTTTTTTTTCTGATAAAAGATCTCATCAAAAATGCTGATTGGTCAATTTTGAAATGATTTGAAGGAAATGGTCAGCTCTAATGAATTTCCCAACTCCAGAATGTTGGGAAAAAAAAGATTTAAAAATTATTCTAAAATACCATTTTGACCTTTAGAAAACAAACCTCTCTCTTCCCCCACCCCTCCAGATTTTCCTGGTTCAAAATTATTTCTTTTTGTTAATTAAGCTAATTATGGGGGAATTGTTTTTGTGCGGGGCCCTCTCCCGATCCCACCTGGGTCACCATGTGTGAGTTCTCTCCCGATCCCATCCTCGTCGCCATGTGCGAGCCGGGGGCGAGCCGGGCCCGTCTTTGCGCACGCGGGCTGTGGCCAGCAGCCCAGGCACGCGGGGTTGGGGAGGACCGGTGGCAAGCTAGAATTAGTCACGGACACGTAATGGTTGATTTAAAGATTATTTTACTTACACCGAAGATGGTCTCGGTGCAGGCAGGAAAACTTGCTTGAGTTGCGGTTACAGACAGGAAAGAAGAGAGGCGGACAAGAGTTCTAAACTTGCGAACTCTAGCCCAATCCGGCTGAAGGCTCTAAACACGCGAGCCCGTCGTGTCAACCGAAGAAAGTACTCGTACAAAAGAGCTCTAATCCTTTTGTTCACTCACAATTCACTCACACGAAGTTTGCTAGGCTCCGTGGGTCCTTTTTTTGCGCGCAGGGAGAGGGATACGTCGAGGTTTGCGCTCGGCGACGGGGAGAAGAATCGATAGGTGATCAGTCTATCGATCAACAGCCTCAGGTCAAATCTCCGTAGAGGCACTCTGCAGCGTGCTCAAAGTTCTCCAACTTGGGCGGAAACC